CACACACACACACACACACACACATACATACACACAACTTCAAAAAAAATTCTCACCCTGTACTGAAAACAGTTTCAGCGTCTCACCACCACCAGCTGGTGAGAGGCCGTGACGTCAATTTGAACCCCGCCCACTGGAACCGGTACTGAAAGCATAATAAAAACACAACGTGTACCGTACCGAGTAGAGTCCTGCTGTACCAGTACAACAGGTACTAATGGAAAAGGGGCATTAGAGTAAGCTGCCTGTTTTCATGCATGCCTGGGTAGTTTTCTGTTTCAGCTGCATTACCGTTGACAGAAGAGGAAACATACATTTGGAGACCTGTTTAAAGCCGATTAAGAGCCACTGCCATAGAAGGCTTAGAAAGCAAAGGCTTTTAGGATTAGGTCCTAGAAAGCAAAGTGTGTAAGAATCTCTGTTTTTATGCTTGATGTTCAGAAAGATCCATCTTTAAAAGCTTTAAAGTGTGTGGGGTCAGTAAAATTGAAAACACTCACCTTGAACAGCCAGAAGTTGCTCATCTGTGGTCCAACGAGCATTAACCTTCTGGTTAGACTACAACGTTAAAGAGCAGAGCTGAATCAATCTCAAAACAGTTTGTAAATCAGATTAAAAATAGAGTTACAGTCACTGTGAGGGGAAACGTTGCTTGAAATTACTTGGACTGTCACAAAAAAAAAAATTATAATCCTGATAAATGGCGTAAAGAACTGTAAAAACAAACACCCACAAAGTTCCTCTAAAACGACGTGACACAGATACAGAAAACTACGTGAGGCAGCTGCTGATAAAAGCCATTAAACCACAAGGTAATTTTTTATTCTAAATCTTTTCAGGCTTTTGTTCTTTATGCTGAAAAATAAACAAAAACAAGATGCAGTACATTATGCATTATTCATTTGAGATTGTGTTTACCCAAATGATACATGCAGTTAAAGACTGCATGATTTGTTAGGGTTAGAAATTTTGTTTTACTTTGGGAGTACTTCAACAATAGATATAGTATTATAGAGTAGTATTTTCTTGTACCTCAGTCAGTTTGAACTCTTCAATTCCAGACTCCAACATGTGTTTCAGTCCACTGTTCATCTGTTTAGCATTTTGGACCTAAGGAACAAAACAGAAACCTTAAGGTCCCAGAATACCTGGACATTGAAGTTGGTCTGATTGTTACAAATCCAGTTAAATTAATCGAAAACAAGCAAAGCCTTATACTACTACTACTACTTTATACTACCTTTATATGTATTTACAGGTCTCTTGAAAATGAGTTCTCGTGGCTCAATGAGACTAAACTGTATAAATAAAGGGTAAATGAAAAAAAAAAACGTTTGTTCAAGTGCGCCACAGAATGTCTTATTCAAAGTGTTAAATTCACAGCAAGTACTGTAGAGGAGTCTTTCATAGTGATTTAATTAAGCTTTGGAGTTTTATTTTTGTTAAAAATAAAGTTTTTTAAGCAAAGGGAGCACAAATAACATTATAATTTGCCCAATGTACAGACCACCTTTAAGACTTACTCCAATATGAGTAAACTGCCAGGGTCTAAAAAGATGGCCTCTTTGAAAGCCACAGGCACCGGACTAAAGGTGCAGGGGAGGAACTGGATCCCTTTTTAAATTGGTTTTAAATTTGTAAATTGGTTATTATCATTCCTCTGCTTTCACCTGTTTCATACAGGAGGTTCCTTGAACGCATCATCACGTTGGACATTCGTGATAAGACATATCCTGTCAATTCCTGCTTTCTCTGCCGGTAGCTCAAATAATTTGTTTGCTTGAGAAGTCTTTTGTTTTTTTTGGATTTATCTATCTTTTGCACAGTTTTACATTCTAGTACACAAACACCCTCAATACCGTTGTTGTTTTTCTACTATTGGATTGTGAATGAAATACCTTAGCTTAGCATGACTTCTGGTTCTCTCCCAGCTTCCTCTGTGTGTCAGATGTTTTGCTATTCCTCTGCCTCCTTTAGCGGTAATGATACATGTAATAAATATAGACATAAGGTCGCTTTGGAGGCGAGGCTGTCTGAATTGAAAGCTCAGCTCTGCGCTATATAGAAACCAGTAGCTAGCCAGGTCCCCTTAGGCAGTGCGGAACCACAGAGACTAGCTCCTGTTAGTCGTCCTCCAGCAGACCCAGAGCAGCCAGGACCCCAGACCTCCTCGCTCAGTGACACACCCTCTGAGAAGCAGACCCTGTTATTGGCAGCTCCATAGTCCGAAGCGTGGCTTTAGGTACTCCATCGACTATAGTTAAATGCAATCCGGGGGCCAGAGCAGGCGCCATAGAATCTTATCTGAAACTGCTAAGGCTAAGGCAAAATACACTAAGATTGTCATTCACGTTGGCAGTAATGACAAACGGTTACGCCAATCGGAGGTCATTAAAATTAATGTTGCTTCGGTGTGTGACTTTGCTAAAACCATGTTGGACTCCATAGTTTTCTCTGGCCCCCTCCCCAACCTGACCAGTGATGACATGTTTAGCTGTATATCATCGTTTAACTGCTGGGTGTCCAGGTGGTGTTCTGAAAACAATGTGGGTTACATAGATAACTGGAGTTCTTTTTGGGGAAAACCTGGTCTGATGCGGAGAGATGGCATCCATCCCACTTTGAGTGGAGCTGCTCTTTTTTTCTAGAAATATGGCTGATTTTGTTTAACCTCCAAATTAGTGACAACCCAGGGTCCAGTCCAGGAAGCAGAGTTGTAGTCTTGCACACCTCTCTGTTGCTTCTCCTCTGTTACCCACCCAAAACTAGGGATGGGGCCAATCTGATCCGGTATCGGCCTTCGATATCAGCATAATTTACATAGCAGATTTTTCCGATCCAACCTGCAGAGATTTGCGATCCATGTTGAATGTCTGTGTCTGTTGAAACATCTCCACATGCGATTCCCTGCCGGCTGCTCTGCAAGTTGGCTTCAAACTATGGAATGGATTTCCTGAACGGAGGCATGTTTCATGAAACCCAGAGTAATAAGATCCGCCTCACATTCAGGAAATCCATTTCATAGTTTTCAGCCAGCTAAAACGTGAGTAAATAGGTGTGGACTGAGAGCAGCACTGTTACTAACAGCTAACCAAATTTTCATTGTAACATGTCTGCAGTGTGGAAGTATTTTATACTAAACACCACAAGACAGCAACGTGCAATGTCTGCAGAGCCGCTGTACCAAGAGGAGAAAGCTCCGTCGCGACACACAACAAACTTAAACATTTGAAAAAGCACCACATTAAAGAGCACAAGGATTGTTTAGCCAGGCACCGCGGTAAAGTTAGTTTTACGTTGGACGTTGTAGCTCAGTAGCTTCAGCGGTATGTTCCTCTCGTTCATTCTGAAGCAGGCAGTCTGATTTCAGTCAGCCGCGCTCAGTCTGCCCGTCTCGGAAGAGGAGCAGAGGAGTGCAACTCACTGAAATCAGACTGTCTGCTTCGCAGCTTGAATGAATATTTGCAGCCGAGATATAGTTTACCTTTACCCTCCAGGAGATATTTATAGTACAACAGTAGACAATCATGAAAAAACATGAATTGAAAAATAAAAGAAAATTATATTTAAATTAAAAAAGAAACAAACAGCTACATTATAAAATGATGTAAAATATTAAAAACAGGAACATATCTTTGGTGGTTTTTTGCCATGAACTTAGCAGATGTTTGAAGCCATTTAATCACTTTAATATCCACTTTAATATTCACTTCGGCGTATTGTTTTTATGCTTAGTGTATATTTGGTTGATGTTTTTCTTAGTGCATATCTTAGATCTTATTGCCATTTTTATTTTACATTTTATTGTGGGATGTAACTGGGACCCTGTGTACATAATCTCGTTCCACCACATGTACCACATGTGGTGTGTATGACAATAAAACTGACTCTCACTTTAAAGTTAGAAATTAAAAAAAAAAAGTTTTATGTTAGCAGGATTTAATTCTAACAAACGCTCTGCTCTTTGAAATGAGAAAGCTTCTCAGATGAGAAGAGAAACGTCTTCTGTTACAAATAGAGTCCAGTTGTTTTTGTCTTGAACGTTTCTGAATAACCCTGAAAGAGTATTTTTGGGGTTCAGTGTCTAAACTAAAATCAAGCTAGACTGGGAATAAAAATCAAAGTTTTGTAAACACATATCTAGTTATTGGAGATTATTTGGCAGCACAACGGCTCAGTGGTAAGCACTGTTGCCTCAACGCAAGAATGTCCTGGGTTCAATCCCCAGTTGGTCCTGGGGTCTTTCTGTGTGGAGTTTGCATGTTCTCGTGCTTGCGAGGGTTTTCTACGGGTACTCCAGTTTCCTCCCACAGACCAAAAACATGCATGTTAGGCTGCCTTCAGGCCCAGGCCTCCCTTGCAAAAGATATCTGTGATATCAATGGGATTTGCCTGGTTAAATTTTTATTTTTTATTTCGGCTGCTCCCTGCGTTAGGGGTCGCCACAGTGAACTAAGTAGCATGAAGACTTGGCAGTTATTTTTTTTTACGCCGGATGCCCTTCCTGACACAACCACAGACCACCGAGCTACCACAGCCCTCTGTGTGGAGCAGAGAGCTGTTATCAAGGACACCCGGAGGAGCAGATGGTGGGGGTTAAGGGCCTTGCTCAAGGGCCCAGAGTGGGACGAATGAGGGTGGGGGCAGGTGTGGGTGCTTCACCTACCCCACCCACATTTTTGATGTTGTCGGTACCAGGGCTTGAACCGGCGATCTTCCAATCACAGGCCCACCTTCTCTAACCTTCAGAGGGATTTGCAGTGGGATTTGCCTGGCTAAATAAAGGTCAGTAAATCAATATTATTAGGAATTTAATTAAAACTGGTAACAAAACAAAAATAATGTCACACAAAAGGACCGAACTCATGGCAGATATTCAAGTAATGCTGCACAATAATGAGAAATCTGAGATTAATCAGGCGATTTTCTATACAGTTCTTAGTTATTCAACAAATCCATTTCTATGCAAATCAACCTAAATGTAGTTGAACAGAAGAAGTTTGACATTATACCTGTCTCTTAAGGGACACGAGCTCCATGTCCAGCTGACGAAGCAAGGTGTTGGCTGCAGAGGCGCTGCAGGACACCGCCACCACATCTTCCTGGGTTAAGTACATGCCTTTAGGGGGACGGCAGCGGGAGCGCTGGTGGTGTCGGTGCTGCAGGGTCTGGTGCTCACGCCGACCTAAAGCAAGTTTTGTGCCTGGCACAGGTGACTCGGTCTGGTTCTAGATGGAAAACAGAACATCAGAACAGAGATCAGGGCCGCTGTTTGCTGAAGGATGATAACATGAAACGGACAAAGAAATGGTGTATATGTTGCAGTGCAATTGAAACTTTTAAATAAATACATCAAATTCATTCATTCAACCTTTATTTCTAAAGATTAGTCTCATTGAGCCATGAGGACTCATTTGCAAGAGAAACCTGGTTAAACAAAGAACACAGATGAGGTACAGAGGTTCAATCAACCAATCAATCAATCAATCAATTCAACTTTATTGTCCATAACATTCAATGAAATGGAGATTTGTCTTTGACATCTGGCTTATAAAAACAACACAAGAAAAAAATGTAATTAAAAAACTTTAAAAACTTTAAGAAGCTTTCCTGGTGCATGCTCAATAATCCAGGTAGAAAAATTTAAAAAAGTTAAATCTGGTCCTCTGGACATTCAAAAAAACCAACAAAAAAAACCCCAAAGCAAATCAACAAAAAAATATAGAAACGTTTCGTCTCTCATCCGACAGACTTCCTCAGTCTGAGGTGCTGTATTCAGCTCAGTCTCTTAAATAGCACCTTCTCAGAGTGGATCAACCAGTTTTGCTGCTGACAACCAAAACCA